GCAAAGAGACATCCAAACCCAGCGTCGGTGAAGTCTACAAGAGGAATTCAAGTTTTTGAGGAGTCAGCCCGAATGTCTCACGCATGAGACTTTGTTTTTGTCCCTCTTGTTCTTTTGTTACTCTTTTGCTATTTTGGTGAACACGTTGGATCACCTATGTATATGAGTTTTTGTTTGGCTGACTGCATATCTGAAAGTTCTTGGATGTATATAAGATGTTAACTCTATTTATATGTGTGAGTTATTATGAAATACCTTTGGAATGATTTTGCTATACCATGTAAGCACAACCCATTGGACAGAGCTTTTAAATCTGCTTCCGTTTTGGCCCCTTTAACATTTCTGAAATTGTTTGAGGCCGTGATAATCTCAAGATTATTGGCCGGTTATGACCTTAATCCTTAGGGGCGGGATCGGATCATGACATATAGGTTTAGACTACACATCAATGAAGTTACCAGGAATGTAAGGGAATGTGCGAGGAAACAAAGGACGCAAGATGCTTTTCTGAATTTCCCAATCAATTGAATTTAAGCTTACTGCTTCCAGGTTTAGCAATACCCCACCCTTTTTGGAAGCAGGAAGAGGAATTTTGACATGCTGCAAAATGCATCCAATGCAACATAAAATCAATTGGAATATTAAAAAATTCATTAGTTACAGTGAATCCTTGTTTCAAACTTCAGGAACATTTTATACGATTAAACAATTATGGATAACGCAACTAGATTTTGATGTCGAACTCTAAATTATATTTTGAAATTGCATCCAATGCAACATAAAATCAATTGGAATATTAAAAAATTCATTAGTTACAGTGAATCCTTGTTTCAAACTTCAGGAACATTTTATACGATTAAACAATTATGGATAACGCAACCAGATTTTGATGTTGCCATTTGATGGTGAAATTGAGATGGAGTTGCCTTAAAGGTAACGATTTTTTTTTTTTTTGATCGGACGAAATATGTCAATTAAGAAGCCAAACGGCAGTTATAGGAGTCCAAACAAACCAAGACTTACACCATACAAAGTGAAAATAAAACAAGAAGCACTCAGGAAGAAGAAATATGAAAATATTCAGACGTACATATCGTACTCGTGCTCGTACTGCGAAGCAGGGCCGATCATAAAAGATCGACAATAGAGAATGTCCGAAATATTTCATAGATCCCAACCACGAAGAGGGTAAGCTTAACAAATCGCAGAGATGGACTCCAACAGAACCATACAAACCCAAAAACCAACACAAACCAAATGAAAGAAAATAAAAGAAAAACAAACAAAACAAACAGGCCCACACCCAATCAAAACCAGCAGCGGCTTCGGCGGATTCGGCAGTGGAGACAACCGGCGATGCAGAGGCGGCGGAGAAGGGTGGTGAAGACGGCTGGAGAGGTGGAAAAAGGGCGATGAAGGCTACGGGGGAGGCGGATTCGGCGTGAATGGAGAAGATGAAGAGGAAGAGGCGGCGAAGAAGAGGCGGTCAAGCTATGGAGAAGACGACGGGGCGGTGAAGGAAGTGGAGAAGGCGTGGATCTGAGGGGCCACTCCCGGAGTGAATGGATGTGGGAGAAACATCTCACAAAGGAGGGAGAGGATGGAAAGCCTAAGCTTTCAAGTTATGGGAAAGCAAAATAAGGAAAGGGAAGAGCAAAAGAGGGGTAGGGGGAGGGGTGAGGAGGCCGGAGGCCGCCGGAAACCCCTCCCCCACCGCCGGCAGCCTCATAGTCGGAAACCCTAGGAGGAGAAAAGTTTAGAGAGAAAAACTCTCAAACTAAAGAGAGAGAGTGCAATCTGGAGAGCTTTTATCTTTTGGCTAGTTTAATGGTACAACTTCATGCTCTCTTCTATTTAACCACCCAAAGAATTTGACAGCTAACGTAGAATCAGAGACTGATTTCAACAAATACATAACTGTTTGAAAGATGTCCCATCACTGGTTTAGGTGGAGGGAGCTTGGCTGTCATTCTTTTTCGTTCTCTTCGACTGAGTTTCGTTGGTATTCTAATTGTTTTCTATATAACATTTTACTTGCTTTCTCGTGTATGCTTTTTTCGGCTTCTTTTGTAGTTGTAATTGTTATGTTATAAGATGGCCTACTATAATTGTAAGTATGTGATTGCCATGCTACTGAATATGTGACAATTCAGTCTTAGTTATTGTATTATTTCATTATCTTTAGATGAAATACTCAAATATATAAAATATATAAATTTATATATTTTTTGCATATCATATCTTTGCTTCTTAGATAATTAGCAACAATTAACCATGTAACCAAATATCAAAAAATTCTCTTGCATTGGCAGTTCTCTGCAATTCTGTGTTATCTGGGATTACCTAAAATGTTAACTCCATTTTGCTTGGGTAGGGCTAAAAAGCAAGAGTTTGGCTTCTAATCTCAACTTCAGCAGAAACCCCAGGAGCTTGGCTAGTGTGTGTGTATATATATGTATGTATACAGAAGTTAGGGTTTGATCCCAAAACTCCTCCTAATAGAACAAAATAAAATTTTTACAGTTATATTGCCCACCTCAATTTTCAAAGTACGGTTATAACTAAAAATAATCCAAAGAAGCCATAGAAGATACAGAAAGGCAAGAGTGAAGAGTTAAAAAAGAAAAAAGTATTCATGAGTCGCTTTTCATGAGCTCTAATCAGCAACTCTTCCATCTTCGTTCACAAATACCAAATCTCAAGATTTTTCGAGAGAGCAAAAAAATATAAGGAAAATGCGATGAACTCAAATAATTTTTCAAATGTTTTACCAAATCTTCCACGTAGGTGTAGAACCCATACAAACCTACATGTGTGTGGCCTTATCCATGTGAGAGATTTCGTAAAACATTTGATAGATTATTTGGAATCCTAGCATTACTCAAAATATAGTAGTGTAGAGAAAAATCAATGATTCTATATACCCAAAATTGCAACAAAATCGCCACCATTGGACGTTATGAACTACGGTAACGATATTAACTACTCTGAATATAAATATATAAAATGACCCCTCCATGGCTGGTCCAAATTGAAGGGTTGTCTGTATGCCACTTGGACTCATTCTAAATCGTTGATTTCTGGGGTTATCAAAGTCAATTTAAAATTTTTATTTGGTGAGATTTTAATAATTAAATGATTTGAAAAAAATATAAACTGATAATATAGATGATCTCGCTAGAATATTGAAAAATAAAGGAAAAATTATTTTTAAAAAATTATGTTTATAATAGATTTGACTCTTATAACAAAATAAATGGGATTTTTTTTTTAAGATTCCTGGTATTAAGATTTTATAGCATAAAGGACACTCAATATTTTCATAATGTCTAAGGTTTCTCAACATCGATCTAAAGAATTTCTTTGGACGAATTTTCTTTGGATTTCACAAAGAAATTCTGGTTCACAGATAATTTCTTTTGTCGAATTTTCTCTGGTCTACATAGAAAAATTCTGGTTCACAAGACTTCATTATTATTGAGAATTTCTCTAGACTATAAATTTGAATTGTTGAGAATTTCTCTAAACTATAAATCTGTAATTTATTGCAGGGTGCATTCACGAGGCTTCAAAATTTCTTTGTTTTGTTCTTACTTGATCAAGAGAAAATTCAAAGCACTCCAGAGAAATTCAAAATTTCTTTGCTTTGTTCTTACCTGATCCAGAGAAAATTCAAACTACTCCAGAAAAAATTCAAACTAAAATTTCTTTGTTTTGTTCTTACTTGATCAAGAGAAAATTCAAAGCACTCCAGAGAAATTCAAAATTTCTTTGCTTTGTTTTTACCTGATCCAGAGAAAATTCAAACTACTCCAGAGAAAATTCAAACTACTTCAGAGAAATTCAAAATTTCTCCACTTTGTTCTTACCTGATCTAGAGAAAATTTAAACCACTCTAGAGAAATTATTTGTCCAGAGAAATTCTTTGATAGCCTTCATCATCATCATCATCATCATCATCATCTTCTTCTTTTTACATCAAATAAGTAGCTGTAGCAACACCATGAAAGCCATAGAGGCAACAACACTTTGATAGCATCAAAACAAATGCACAACATGACAAATGATTAACTGGAGGTAGCATGAGGCAATAAAAGTATCAAGTCCACCCATCAATGGCTTGATTTGACCCTTCTAGAATAGTTGGACAACAAGCAGATACAACAGCTGCAAACTAGCCACCTATGATCTCACTTATGTCAACAACAGCTCAAAGAAAAGAGAAAATAACACAGCCACAACTCTAGAGAAATTCTGGGAATTCAAATTTCTCTGGACTAGACTGGACTTCTTAGAGAAATTTAGCAGACTTGATCATCTTCAAACAATCTCTCTATGGGCACTTCTCTCCTAAGCTCTTTAACATAGGTCTTGTTTGGTGTAGCTATTAAAATAGATTATAGATTATAACTTAACAGATTATAGATTATAACTTCAATCAGAAATTGTTAATCTATTTGGTATAGCTGTTAGATTATAGATTTAACTTATTGAGTAGTGTTTGTTAAATAAGCTGTGAAGTAACTTTTTCAAATAACTTTTATTTTTTATTATTCATTATTTGTCTACATTTCTCATAAAAAATAATAATAATATTTTATAGTCCATTTGTGTCTTTTTCTATTTTAAAAAAAATAAAAAATAAAAAATAAAAAAATCTAAGAATATAACCGTGAATTAACATGTCCACAGTAGAAGCTGATAATCAGAAACAAGGGGTGAGTAGCTTCTCAGAATTAGTTTTTTTGACTTAAAATAAGTTGTTAGAATCAAAAGTTGTTTGAAATAAGTTTAACCAAACAGTCCAAAATAACTTTTTAAAAGCCAGAAGCCATAAGTTGACTCAAAAAAACCCCACCAAACATCCCCATAGTGTGTAATTCCTTCTTCGATATCAACCATTTCCATCATAACCCTAACTTAGGCCCCAAGCCGTTAGCGACAGCAATGCCAACGCCAACGGCGACGGCAAGATCTCGGCGACGGGGCTTGTATCAGTCATGAAAGCTCTCCAATCCAACACATCGGAGGACGAAGTGAAGCGGATGATGGAGGAGCTTGACATTGACCTCGATGGCTTCATCAGTCTCGAAGAGTTTGCCAATTTCTATAAAGGCAGAAGCGACACTGTCGGAGCTGCTGGAGATAACGGCAATATGGCAGGGCTGAAGGATGCCTTCGAGTTGTATAATCAGGACAAGAACGGAGTGATCTCGTCATTGAGATCGGCGGGAGAGAGTGAGATATATCAAAATATTTCTGTGATAGATGGGTGTGGGGTTTAGGGATCTTAGATATCAAAAAATAATATTAGATCTCTTCCATTACTAAAAATGAGAGAATGGCCTTAGACTAATTTTTTTCAAAATAAATATTTATTTATTTTCAATATAAATTATTTATTTATTTTTATTAAATAAAACCTATAAAAAAAATGGTATTCACTAAAATATATCTTTTTCAGTCCGTTTTACTTGACAGAAATAAATAAATAGCTTAAATTGAAAATAAATCAAAAGGCTAAAGTTTTGTGGAGAAGTGGTTTGGAAATACTCTTCAGATCCTGGGAGACGCTAATAATCCTCAGCTAGTCACTTGAAAAGATACAAACACTCCGGTCGAGGGTGTCCGAATTAGCACTCCGACGGACAAGTCAGTTCAGACACTCAAGACAGCTTGTTTACTAAGTTAAGTGAAGTGATTCTTACATACCTTTCTAAATCTGTAGTTCTTGTATTTATACTTGCTTTTTGGACCTCGGGGCCTGAGCCTGCTTTTATCCCATTCCCTTTTTATTTATTCAGAGCTACTGATCTCCGGTTATTCGGCCTTACTAACATATTCGGCATCCTAGTCACGCAATACAGAGCCGAATAATATCTGATTTCTGGGGTACGCACCTTCCGACTATTCTATTTATTCGGCTCCCACAATTGCCCCCCAAGCACTTTACCAACGATAGTCTGGTTAGAGTGCTTGGTTCCGAATTTCGAAAAGTCAGAGCCAAAATTCGGCTGTTGGCCTCATCCTTATGCGGATGTCTTAGCGCACCCCTTTCGATTGTCGTGTCGACTTTTCGCCCCCTCGTACGTGTCTACGTATTGCGACTTAAAATTTTGGCGTCCTTTCGAGTATGTATTTTATGACGCTCGTAGCTGGATTGCCTTTTGAATCGTCCCTGCAACTCTCTTCTCCATTATCCTTTTCGTTCTTTGTAAGTTCTCTCCTTCCTTGCTCCAACGACTCTTTCTGATTTATTCCTTCCTTGGCATATTCTTATAAACTGTTGGGTATGGCAAAACATTTAAAAGACATTCTCTCGTCAGATCGAATTGCTGGCTTTAAACGCTATTTCTCCATTCCTGATGATGGTCGTCTGTCGTTTGTGGCAGACGGCACTCTTGATATGGAGAAGGAGGACAAAACCACGATTGTCTTTTCTCTTTTGTCAATCGTAGAGGGTGGAGTCTGTTTTCCCCTTCACCCGTTTCTTAGGGCCGTGCTTCACCATTGGGGTTTAATCCCTTCTTAATTCAATGTGAATTTCTTTAGAATTATAATGGGGGTTATAGCGCTCAACCGTCGCCTTAGAATTAACCTTGGCATTCTAGCCATCCGGCATTGCTATGCCTTGGCTAAGTCTTCTGGTCGGCACAGGCGTTTCTTCCTTAGGGCCAAGGATATCGACCATCAGCTAATTACTATGCTTTCCAGTTCTGGGAAACGAGTTGATGATGTTATGGTCGTTGTCCAGGGTAACTGGAAATTTGGCGAAGGGGAGGATCACGTCAACCCTATTCCTAGACGGAGGGGCGAGCCAGGTGGCCTATTGCCTTCTCCCTTTTATTATTTGTTCATTTTTTTTGTAAAGCCTCTTCTTTGAAATGTTACGGCTTGGCTTGTGCAGAGAACAGTTTGAAGAAAGTCCTGTCTTCGACTGACGACGCCGTTCTTTCGGATATCAAAGTCGCGCTCAAGTATTTCGGCCGTCGAAGTCTTCAGAAACAAGGGAGGGCGGCCCACGTTCTGCTTCGTTACGAGCCAACATACACGACCTTCTTGGCAGCGGAAAATATCCCGATTCCGGAGGGTGAAGATTCTCTTATTGCTCTTATTTTGTCCGACTTCAAAAACTTGAGGCAGGTTGGTTTTGAAGGGTCTGATTCAAAGCGGGATGTAGCTAATGTTACCGAATCAGATCAGTATGAAACCGAGTCTGACGAGGCATTGAATTCGGCCGATTCTCTATCCACTTCGGACCGAGGAGATCTTTCACTTGACGGCATTTTTCACGGCATAGAGGGTCTTCCCGCCGGAGGCCCCGATGACATAGCCGGGTTAAGCCTGACAAAACTTGCCAGGAAGGCGAATGCGAAAAGGTTGGCCGCGCGGTGAAGAGCGGAGGCCCTTCCGTCTGAAGTACCACCCGCCACCGAATCTCAATTCTCCCTGCCTATTAGCGAATCAGAGTCCTTGCGCGTTATTGAGGTGGAGACAGCGGAAAATCGGGATGCCGAATCTACTTTGATCATGCAGGCCGGCCTAGTTGAGGAAGAGGCAGAGAAACGCCCTGTCGAGTTTAAGGCCGGCTCGGAGGAACAAGGCGGCAAACGTCCTCGATTAGAGGGATCGAATGTGATCGTTCTTTTTGTCATTCAGCCGATGATAAAAAACATGCCGATTTCTTCGGATGCTTCGCCGCTTAAAGATCTAGAAGTCACATTCAGCTTGGCTACGTTCGTGTCGTTGCCGTCTAACAGGGAGGCTTTCTAGGTGGAACCAGATCTGAATGCGACAGCACTAGCCGCCCAATCGACATTTTTGGTTCATATTCAGACTTTGCTTCACTTAATCCAAATGCTGTTGAAGTTATGGTTTTAAATTCTTGTTTTGTAGACCGTCGGAAGGATAGCCAATATGGGCCGTTGACATCGCGACGCCGTCAAATAGAATGGTCGTTTATGAAAGGAAGTTGAGGGCCAGAGGAGAAGGGCCGAGGTGGAAGTTTTGAGGGCGAACAAGGAAGCCTCAAGGGCCGAGGCCGAGGTGGAGAAGGCTCATAGCGCGGATCAATTGAGATCGGATGCCGAGAAGGGGGTGGAGGCGAGCGAAAATGGCTCAAATTGTCCCAGAAGGTGGTCTCCAAACTGGAGGCTGAGTTGGCTGAAATGAAGGCGGCGAAGGAAACAGCCGACTTGGAGGCTTCCAAAGTATTCGAGGCCGGGAAAAATGCTGGACTTGCCGAGTATTTGGACCAAGTCCCCAAGTTTGAAAATCGGGGATTCAAACATGGCTGGCACAAAGCCCTTACTGCTACTAAAGTTTCACTGATTATGCCAATACTACATGAGCAAGTGGATGTTGAGCCATTGGAATCTGATTCCGATGACTGATTTGGGCGACTGACAGTTTTTAGGATGTCGAATGTATTTTTACAGTTTTTAATTTGGTATTTTTTATGTGTTGCTACAGTCATAGCTGTTTGCTAGGCATTTTCATGCGGGCTTGTAGCTTTTTGTTTAGTAATTTGCGTATATAAAATTTCATGAGTTGTGCTCAACTTGCTAAGGAAAATGTTGTTGATGAATGATATTGCTTTCAGTTATGGTTAGATCGGCTGCCTAGCTTAGGTATTTGACCGACCAGATTAGTAAATCTGCCCTTGCCTTAGCCAGGGTGCGAGCTTGCGAAGCCGAATGGGCCTAACTCGTGGGCTGGCTGAGGCATAGATTGATCAGCGCTTGCGCTTGAAACATGGCCGACCAGATTAGTAAATCTGCCCTTGCCTTAGCCAGGGCGCGAGCTTGCGAAGTTGGATGGGCCTAACTCGTGGGCTAGCTGAGGCACAAATTGATCGACGCTTGCGCTTGGAAACATGGCTGACCAGATTAATAAATCTGCCCTTGCCTTAGCCAGGGCGTGAGCTTGCGAAGCCGAATGGGCCTAACTCGTGGGCTGGTTAAGGCACAGATTGATCGGCGTTTACGCTTGGAAACATGGCCGACCAGATTAATAAATCTGCCCTTGCCTTAGCCAGGGCACGAGCTTGCGAAGCCGAATGGGCCTAACTCGTGGGCTGGCTGAGGCACAGATTGATCGGCGCTTGCGCTTGGAAACATAGCCGACCAAATTAATAAATCTGCTCTTGCCTTAACCAGGGCGTGAGCTTGCGAAGTCGGATGGGCCTAACTCGTGGGCTAGCTGAGGCACAGATTGATCGGCGCTTGCGCTTGGAAACATGGCCGGCCAGATTAATAAATCTGCCCTTGCCTTAGCCAGGGCGGGAGCTTGCGAAGCCGAATGGGCCTAACTCGTGGGCTGGCTGAGGCACAGATTGACCGGCGCTTGCGCTTGGAAACATGGCCGACCAGATTAATAAATCTGCTCTTGCCTTAGCAAGGGCGCGAGCTTGTGAAGCCGAATGGGCCTAACTCGTGGGCTGGTTGAGGCACAGATTGATTGGCGCTTGCGCTTGAAAACATGGCCGACCAGATTAGTAAATCTACCCTGGCCTTAGCCAGGGACAATTGTCATCCGTTTTTTGACGTTTGGGATTATTGACGTTGCCTCGGGAGAGCTGCATATATTGAAGGATAAATGGGGCCGGCGTACGCCAGAGGCCCTACTTATTTCCGTTCAGGCGACTTGGGAGGTGCGAAGATTGGCTGAATTAGGCGCCGCAATGAGTCGCAGTAGCGAGCCTATGCGTACGGGAAGAAGAACGTCCAAGGATCGGGAAACACAGCAGCCTCTTAGTCGTCGAAGCAGATCGCCCCGAAAGGACTGGCAATAACGGGGAAATTCTCCGCACCCGCGACTGAGAATCTAGCCCGATGCGACGCCACGACCGTTGAGTTTTGTGGTTTTCATAAGGAATAGACCAATGACGGAGGCGGATTCTATCATTAAAGACCCAGGTATGGCAGTCGAGTTCGCTCGACAGATCTTCCCGTCGGAAGTCCAACAATCGATGGTCGGACGTCAAGATTTTGAAGTATTTCAAGACGGCATACATGGGGCCGTGAAAGGACTATATACTGCTTACGAAGTCGGCATGCGTTTGCAGGAAGCGCGACGTGAGAGTGAGAAAAAGGACAAAAGGAATCGCAGTCTGGAGATTCGCGCAGAAAAGGCTGAGCATGAGCTTCAGGAGTTGAAGAATGTTCAAACGAGCACGTCAGTGGCGGCCGGTCAATCTAAATTGGTCGTTAAGGAGAGAGTGACCCAACGGACCTCGGGTTATGAAAATGGGTTTCAGGACGGCCTGAAGGTCGGGATAGAGAAG